TTAATATTTAAGTCTAATCCATTAAATCTTTTACCTTGTGGTTGTCTACTACTAGGTTCCAACGACAAATAATACTTGGTAAACTGAAGATCTAAAAACGGAACTCTGAGTTCCAAACTGAAGGCACTGGTTGTTCTATCTGCTCTCAAACCATCATATAAATATATATCCTGTAACAATCTAAGAGATTCGTTGTGTGCGTCTGTTGCGTCAGGTGCATCTCTGAAGTAAATGTAGCCTTGTGCCAACTCATCTGCACCTTCTCCACTAAAGATCACAGTCGTCTCGGTATTCCGTTGTATGTATCTTGAAATGAGATACATCCTATAAGTAAAACATTGCAATGTTATATACAGCATGTATATACGTTATATTCACTATTATCATAGCTTTTATTATAAGTATAAAGCATCCATAAAGTTTTATCTCAAAATGTTTTCTATATCTAACGAAAAATAAATTGAGAATTGCTTTATATTTAAGACTGTAGTAGATTATCTTTTTCTAAAAAAGTAGTAAGAAAAGAAAAAAAAAATTACATGTAAAAATTATCTTTTCCTACTTTCAAATTTATAATATTAAATAATTTGGAAATTAAATTGCATGCTCAAATAAAGTACTCCACCCAATTGAAGCGCGAATAGTAGTAATGTCATATGTTTCTAAAGAATATATGACATTGTCCAGCACATTGATTACATCTTGTTTCGTAAAGATAATTTCATGATGCTCAGTTCCGATGTATTCTGCAACCTGTAACATAAGAAATTTCAGCTTTCATATAATTGTCGATGGGAAAAGAAAGAATCAAAGTATCAAAATTTCCACGAACCTGTCTAGCAGCGATGATATCTGGACTGTCATCCATACCTATTGCGAAACTCTGTATCTTATACTTTAAATTACATTCCTTCGCTTGCTTTACCAATAAAGCAGCAACTAAGCTAGAATCTAATCCACCTGACAATAGACATCCTATCCGCCTATCAGCCATCAGTCGTTTCTCCACGGCTGCTGAAAGTAGTTTTCGGATGTTGCCATGAACATCATTTGGAGTCAAAACTGTAATAGATAAAAATTTTCATATACTTTCAGTATACATGTTGCATATTAATTAGTAAATTAGTAAATTTATGTTAATGATAGATAAATTTGTTTTACGATAATTGAATATCGATTATAATTTATCTCACCATTCCAAGAGATATGTGGGAGGAACGAAGGTTTGTCGCCGGGCTTGAAATAACAGCGACTCTCTAGAAGCTTAGTTCGACCATCTTGTAAAATTTCATATTCCTCATAATATCCTGGAAAAAATGGCTTTAGCGTCCAGTTACTTTCTATGTGTTTCGATATTGCCATCAGACCCTAAAATGTTATCTTATAAAAATAATTATGCTACTTATATATATAATTAGCAAGGATTCATAATCAGAAAAGTATATTTTGTGCTAAAGAAACATAAAATCATTGGGATCTACTAAAACAGAAAAAAGAAACATAGAATCATTGGGATCTACTAAAGCTTTTTGTTATTAGTTTTAAAAGTTTTAAAATTTTTAATTATAAAAAATCCATAATCCACATGAACTTAGCATAAATCTATAGATATATAGATCGATGATTTTGTTAAATAGATAATTCTTATGTTTTTTTTTATATTGATTTTGAATATGAAATAAAATTTACAGACTCCAATTTTTTGTAATCAATATTTCTTTTTAAAAACTTACTAATAACAGCTTGTATGGAATCTTTTTCTTAATTAAAACGATTTACTTTGTAATTATTACATGAATAGAACAACTGTGAAAAATAAGATTGTGAAATATAAAATTATTTCAAATCATTATTTAAAAATTACAAAACTATTCCAATTCATTAGGATCCATATATTCCAATTATGGATTAATCAGGAAAGAAATAATCTGTTATCAATGCACCTTGCTCTCTGAACAGATAGCCAGTTGTCCATCATCTGAATATAATCTAAACAGTGGTCTTACGCCGTACGGGTCTCTGGCTATCAGTATCCTCCTCTTTAAGACATCCATCAGACAAAGTGCAAATACACCATCCAATGATTGAGCAACACTGTTACTACCAGCATAGGCATACAAATGCATGATTACTTCCACATCGCATTTAGTAGAGTAGTCAAATTGATATTGTTTTTGTAACTGCAATAGGACATTTTTACTAATAACAAAGAAATATAAATATCGCTCGAAATTTGCACAGCAAAACAATTTAATTACAACGACCAATTAAAATTTCATGTCAATCACAGTGGAATAGTTGAATGATGGAATTCTTTTCGATAGACAACAGTATTTTATGTTAAGTAGAATAAGATTTAATTTATATTGAAAAAACTCTGTGAGTCGAAATATCTATAGATTATTAATATAATGTTATCTTAATGTTAAACAATTATTTCAAACATTATTGTATGCTCATTTAATTGGTTGTTGTAATTAAAAAACATTTTAACTAATAAGAAAGATAGCAGAAAGAAGCTTCATATTTACTCTGTCGCAGTTATATATTTCTCCATTACATAGGAGGAATAAATGTGGATATTCATGGATTCTCATCGGCTGCATTCCATAAAGACTATCGACGATGGCCAATCGATGAAATCCTAGATATCCATTCTACCAAAAAAAAAAGAAATATCAACAGAAAGAACTTGCATGATCTTTCAAAAACGTACTTTGATTCTGTTATCGAACTCTATTTTAAATGCTTCTGGACCGCGATGTGAAATTTTATCGAAGTTCTCACAGATGCAGGTCATGGATTGCGCTCCCAGCCCGAATAATGCCCAGATTCCGCACATTTTGCTGTCGGCTTCCTTTGATGTCACGTGCGTGCGACTCCAGTCGGTTACGTATCGCAAAAGTCAATTGTTCTACAATAAGATAGCAAATCATAAGCTGTAAAGAATTGGCCAATCACAGTTAAATATGATACAAATGCTTAATTATTAATGGAACCTTTCGTGATATTTGTTTCTTCTTGAAAAAGAAAAAGCGAGATATTGCACGGTAACTTTAATGAAGTTCAGTATTGATAAAATAAAATTTTACAGATTACGAATTTTATTTTCTCGATGTATAACTTATTTTCTGTAAGCGTACAAAAGCACTTTCACGTAGGACGTGCATGGACTACAATTAACGATACGCTACTGTACTCCAATCTACCGACCTGCTTTATATATGCTCCAGTTCCGAACAGTGTGACGTTGGCTACAATCCATGTCACTTTGTGGCGTTTCTGATGTAATAATGTATCGTTGAGCGTCGTTCAACGACGGGATATCAAAAAATCGATCGGTATTGTCTGACAGTTATTATGATAACTATTATGATAAGTTGGAACCGTAACAAAGAAACTACTCCTATCTCCAAGTGATGATCTTTCAAGCGATCTTCTTCCGCTCAAGTATCGCTTCATATACTGATTAATATAATATGTTTATGTCTAATTTTATCAACGGTTTATGTAACTTTATCTTGGTTTAATTTACTCTTTAAATAAAGATAAAACATAAATTACGATTAATATAAGTTAAATAGATGATCTAATAAATCGGAACGAAAGTTCCGAGTGTTATTTCATTTGTATCAAGTTTAACTGCTTTTTTTTTAATTTTGACAATCATTTTATAGAGTATCTTAAAATTAATTAAAAAAGTTTGTTAAACGTGATTTAAATATACAATATATAAATAAAAGAGCAAAAAAGCCACACGCTGGATGTCGTTAACGAAATATATTTAAAAATTCCTTAAGGTGACATAAATAAACAAAAACGTTTCGACCAAAATGTGGCCATCTTCAGTATGTAAAATAATTAAATAAGTAAAATAATTTATAAATAAGTCAAAATAAAATTAGTTACATAAATAAACGCAGAACATAAAATAAAAATAATCGATTTTTCAACAAGAATTGAGCCAATGTCGATCAATCCTCGTCGATAATCTCCTCATGAGGAGAAAATGGTGGCCGAAACATTTATGTTTATTTATGTCAACTGGAGAAATTTTTAATATATGACTTTCGCTAACGACATCCAGCGTGCGGCTTTTTTGCTCTTTTATTTATTATCTTAAAATTTATTATCTTAAAATATTTCAGTATTCATTTACATATGTGAACAATTTTAGACAATTAAGGGGATCGAGTATGAGTCTTGAAACGAGATGAAAATGACAAAAGATAGAAAAAAATGTACAAAATGTTGATCAATTAAATTATAAATATCCTAATAAGTATTGGCTTATTTTTGTAATTTTTACGTCGTTTAAAGATAACAATAAACTTTCAAATGTACTTTCTCAGCTCTTTTGAAAACTGATTCAAATTTGTATTGTATTAAAAAAATCTGAGAAATTTTCTAAAAAATCATTTATTTTCATTATTTTCGGAAATTCTAAACAATTATAAAATTTATGAAAAAAAAACTCAGAAAAACTTTCAAGAATTTAATTAAAATCTTTTCTTAAAATATATTAATGAATACGAAGAAAGAAGATTTTTATTTTTTCTTAGAAAAAACAAATTATAGGTTATGTTTCTGCGGCGTTAATTACATAAAATTATCGGATCCGAGAATTTAAACAATTCAATTGAACTCTCTGTAGCGCGAAATCCCAGGAATTCCGAGGACCAACGGTAAAATAGCGACGCGTCAGATCGATAAAACAGAATATCAACCGACGTGCACGTACAGTAGCGCCACGCTGCCGCAGCGGCGACAGTGGCGGCGCAGTGAGTCTCTCGCCAACCATCGGTGGTTCGGCGCGCTTCCTCTTCTTTCCGGTCTACCCCTTTCCGTTCGATCCTCACTCTCACCGACGCGGGACGTTAATCCCCGTACATACGGCACAGTGTGACAGTATTTCGCGCGTGCTCTCGGTCAGCGCACAATCGGGAGCTTTTAGCTACTAACTGGCGTTCCATCGGTGATTCCGGATGCGGGTGCGCCGCTCGCGTCGGGTGTGTCGTAATCGTGCCGGACCGTGCCATCGAGGTACGAACGTGGACGCGAACGCGTACTCGCCGCCGGTAGCGAGCGCGGAACACGGGGGACGGGGTCAGCCACGGAGGCGGCCAACAGCGGTGGTGGTGGTGGTGGAGGTGGCGGTGGTTCTCGACTCAGCTGGCCGCTCGTAGACGTCGTCGTGAATGCTGACGACGCGCGTGGAACAACGCGGACAGTCGGCGTTCGCCGGTGCTCCGAGGAGGATGCGCGTCGTAACTTGCTGGCCGTGTTACGGCCTATAGGCGCTGATAGACGCGCGGCACCATAGCCCGCTCTCCCTCCTCTCCCCGCTGTAGGTAGGTGTATTTCATCGCTCCATTTCCATCGCCGCGAGTGCCCAAATGCGCGAGTGCGAGCGTGGGTTTTCGGATTTTTCCTGTTCTCGGAAGGGATAGAGAAAGAGAAAGGAGCAGAGACGTCTCTTTCGAGGTTAGAGTCCATGGTGTTTCGGTCTGTTTTCCGCTCTTAATCAGTGCCTGATCGAACTTCCGATGTGTACTCGACGTGTAAAGGCTATGGCAACGCGAAATAATTCAAACAGTGAGACGTAAGCGTTATGTGAACCAGTCAATCACAGTAAGGAACATAAGGCGGTAACGTAGGCTGTAGCAAATTCAAAATGTTGATTTGCTTACTGCTTATATCTCGCTACTTAACTCGGACAATACGCATTGTCTAGAAGATCTCTTTGTCGTGTCTTTTTGATACGTATCTTTCAGAAACATGTATGTCTCGAAAAACAGTCTTTACGACACCTTTTAGACACGCTTGTTGTCTGAGAAGAGCTTTTGTATGTCATAACACTTTTTAATGCATGCTCTGGCTATAACGTCTGTCACTTTAAAAAGGGAGCCGTTAGTAAATCTATTTTCTATAGCTGAACTAATATAGTATTTCTGGAATTAAAAATATATTTTGTCTTCCTACATTAGAACTTTTTTCTCACTTTAACTAAATATCAAACATATCTATTTCACTACTTGAACTATAAAAACAGATCAGTGGTACAGTTCTGATTAAATTTGAATTCGTTTCTTGAGGTTCAAGGTTTCTTTCCATTCGACGGTACCTTTTTGTTCTTCTGCATAATGAGACCAAGGTTGCCAAAACTTAAACCTTGAAATTGGATCGAAGTCTCGTTTTACTCAGAATTGTACCACCTTATCCTAACACATTTGATATTTGTTAGAAGAAAGTTCTGCGCGCACGTTTCAACGTTTCAACCCACGGCATATATCCGGTCACGTCGCGCGGCTCCGGTGAATTCGCGCGACCGGCCGGTCGATATTTCCGCTTCGTCGGTCAGAAGACACGAGGACGACGTGGCCACGCAACGTGGGACGCTTCCGTTCGCGCAGTCCGCCTCGTCCCCGCGACGACGACGACGTCGTCGGCGGCGTCGTTACTCGCTCGATGGCTCGCCGCTCCCCGCGAGACCTAACCTAACCGTCTCGTCCGCGCGCGAGTCGAATGCGAGTGAGAGAGGATCGATCGACCTGGTGGCCATCCCGGGGCGATCGGCACGTAAAACTCGACGTGAATCCACGCCGTTTGTTTCCTACGCGTCGTGGCGACAACCCGGAGTAAGCCTGGGCAGAATCAGGACGACGTCGCGGAGCATCTCGTTTTACGTACATAGATTAATTACATACATGAATTAACGGCGATATAAGAAGATCCACATCAATCACGTTTTTAGCCTGAGGTAATGGATAATATACAGTCATCCTGTGTATCTTTGTGGCTCTGTCACGTCCGTCCTTCTGACCGTTACAACCGAGACGTGCCATTGATTCGTCGCGTTATCGATTACTCCGTTTAATTATCGTAACACGTGGCTGTGGCTCGCGTGCGTCCAGTTGTACCTCACGCGGGTAGACGTATTTTTTTTCTTCTGTGAAAACTCGCTCGTTTTGTTTGAGAGTCTCATTTAAATGTTTAAATTCACGAGATCCAGGATTTTTAAATTGTTTCTGTTATTTATGTTTACAATTAGCTGAGTTATTCGCATTTCACAATTGTTTCGAATGGAGGAGTAGATATATATATTGAAAAAAATGATTTTGAAGTATCTAAAAATTTAGCTAGATAATATGAAGACAATTTTGTTGAATACGATAATTCATAACGACACTGAAGTTACTTGTTAGAATAGAATGTCACAATTTTTTGCAGATTATCATCATGTTTAGGCGTTGGAAATATCTTGATGTTCAACGTTATTTTTAGATCTAGCTGAATTTTTTAATACCTCAGCAAAATCGTTCTTTTCGTGTAACTATGTCCGTCTGCAATGTTCGTACATTCAATGCTGGAATCACTGCTTTTTGTGAGAAACTCAAATATTTAATTTTACCTGACGTTTATCACGTTTAAATCTCGTTAACAATCGACATTTTCTTCACTGAATGGAAAGAATGGTTTTGTTGAAGCATCTAAAAATTTAGTTGGATCTAAAAGTAATTTAAAAAAGAAAAATTCTATATTTTGGTCGAAGTGGTCATATTATTTAGAAATAATAGAAATAGTATATAATATATTAAAATGCTCAAATGCTGAATACTAGAATGCCAACATTTTACAGCACTATTATTGAGCAATTCAAATAATTGTTGTAATGATTCAAGAAAATTATTTTCAGATCTATATCTAACTAAATTCTTGGATACATCAGCAAAAGTTTTTTTTTCCGCGTAGTTACGACTACTTCGTACACTCATAAAATGTTAGAATTATTCCTCTTTGTGAGAAATTTAAACTTATCTACTGTTCATTAAACTCGATCTTATTAGTAATCGATATTATTATTGTTTGATATAAATGAAAAAAAAAAACAATTTTTTTACTTTGCTCTTGTTTTGCTCTCTAAAAGTTTAGCTACGTATAAATCTAAAAATAATTTTGTTAGACTATCAAACTAATTATATAATATATATATGGAACATTTAAGTTGTTATTTGCTAGATTATCAAAACTTTTTACAGCATTGTTCTCATGCTTTACATAATTTTTTTGATGATGCAAATTGTTTTCAGATCTGTAGCTAGCTAAATTTTTAGATACTTCAGCAAAATCATTTTTTTTTTGTAACTATATTCATCTACACTGAGAAAAAATGCTATTGATTCAATTAAAGTTTATATTACGAGCTGTCACTAACATAAATTAATTCATATATATTTTTATTGACGTAAAAATCTTGATTATTGAATTAATAATTTATACCTTTATGTCAATAAAAATATACATGAATCAATTAGTGACAGATCATAATATAGACTTTAATTGAATCAACAGCATTTTTTTCTTAGTGTATCTTCGTACATTAATAAGATATTAGAATCATCATTGTTCGTACGAAGTATTTTTAATTCATTTGTTGTTTACCAGATTTAATTTTGTTGGCAATCGATATTATTTGTTACACAGTGCTTATCTAAACAT